AAAATGTAAATCTAGAAATGTAGGTGATTAATATTGATATTAGTCGTTATTTTACCGTTGTAGTTAGTGCGGGAGTGGTTTATAAAACTGTGATTGTTGAAATAAGACTATGGAACCTGAAATTATTCTCAACAGAATCTTTTTCGTGAAGCTCCCTTACCGATATCTATAGATATATATATATATCTGCTAAGTTTGTCCAATATAAGATTTTAACTCTGAGAAAATAATATCAATGTAGACTTTAACAATGAATGTGGATCAATTCTTACATTATTTTTACTGTTACAAGTTACTAAACACACACACACTGGTACTATCTATTTTCTTTTTTTTTTCTGTGTTACGACTTTACTCTTAACTATTTGTCGGTATTTTTGTAAGTCAAGAATGTTTACAGCTGGATGGCTGTCCCAGTGAGTGAGAAGAAATACACCAGACATGGTGCTGTTTTACATTACTAGAGTTAGGAGTAAAGTTAATTTAGACAGAAGCAAGTAAGAGTTGAAATGCTAGTTTTCAGTGTAAGAAGGAAGTAACAAGTGTTTGTAAAGTGTTACTGACGAAGTTTCAGTAACAGACAACGAAACTGTACTAGGAGCTGATCGTACGTTTTCACTGGTACTCTGGAAATAAGTCTGGATTGTATTCATTCATCTGTTTACGTATCTTTTACCTATATTTAGTATGTAACTTATTAAAAGCTATGGATAACTTCATTCTTTATGTGTGAATTATGAAGGGTCAAAATGGACTTTATTAACCATCCACGACACTTTGTAAATGTCAAACTAATTTGTTGGGTCATTTTACGTTTTTTTCAAAAGTTACCTTTAGTTTGTATATAAACACGACAATCTCGAGTGGAAGTGTTTGTTACATTTTGTTCATGCAATTATTTATTGAGACAAAGAGCTGTATGCCTTTATTTTTTACTTAGAAAGCTTTACCTTCCAGTATCTCACCTGTAACTTTGATTGCACTCTTTCACTTCAAACTCAGTCTTAAACATTATCATTATAAATAAAATAAATCGCAAATATGTTTAAATATATTCGATATATGAAGCGAAGTCCGAATATTCAGTGTCATTAAATCATTGATAATAGGTTTATCTGTAGAAAAATTATTTTTGAAATCTTAAACAGATCTTTCATAGCAAACTACTAAATTCCAATAAAAATACAAATTTTCCATATACGGTATATTAACTCAAAACTTACAGAATGTTACCCCCCCCCACCACACACACACATACATATACATATATATACCACGTCCCTTACTTAGTTAAGAAACTAATTGTGTTACTCTCTAAGTATTAGACTCGATAAAGTTAAACACAACTTCATGTTTAGTGTTTGTACCTATTCAGAGTTTGTTTTGTTTGTCTCTGTTCACTTTCTTACAACACTTTTCACTATTGTAGTTAATGAAATAAGCCAAATAAGTTTTATATATTTCATTGTTGTTTTTATTGAATAGAACAATATATCTTAATTATATAATATACCCATCTCTCGTTGCTCCACAGCTAAAAGAAACGAACGTATCCTACACCTACTAACCATGAACAACAGAAGAAGAAGAAATCTGATAAAACCCAGTTCCGAAACGTTTAGTAACAATGATGATATTGAATTTACAGAAGCTAATTTATCGAAGTCTCTTGTAACCGACGATGACGAAAGTTTCCATCTGTGTGGTGACGAAGGAAAAGTTTCCCTTTTCTTACTAAGTTGTTTATCTTTATATAAAGGAGTACTATTTTCTATTGCATCTTGTCTGTTTTTCTCGACCGAGTACGCTATTGTTAAATATTTGAAAACAGTAAGTTCTGCAAATATATTTTTGGTTAACTCAACTTTTATTACAATATACAGTATTCCGCTTCTCTTACGCAAAAAGACAAATCTACTTGGCTCACCACCACAAAGAAAAATTATGTTACTTCGATGTATTCTTGATGCATTGACTGTGTATACGAGGTACAGTGCTCTTCACTATTTACCAATTGCTGAAGCGAGTGTCATAATCTTCAGTTATCCAGTTACTGTATCTGTGTTTTCCAGAATAATTTTAAAAGATCCGTTAGACGCATTGCAGGTTATATCCGCAATACTAACCGTAGTAGGTGTTGCTCTGGTATCAAAACTGCCCTTAGAACTCCAACAAACTAATACGTTAACGAGTTTTTTTACTTCATCAGATCGAATTTACGGAGTTTCGATGGCTTTCATTTCAACAGTATTTAATTCATTTTCTATAATTTGTAGCCACTGGCTGAAACACACCCATGCTTTTGTGTTATTGTTTAACACTGGATGGATTAGTATTTTTATTAGTTTAATTGTTATGTTCTCAGAGGGAAAAGTTTTAGTCATACCGTGTGGGGAACCATCTTTGTTAATTGTCTTCTGTTCCATGATCGAGGTAGTTGCGTTAACTTTACTCTATAAAGGGCAACAAACTGAACAAGTTGGAGTAGCTACTATAGTTCGAGCAGCCTCTCATATTACTTTTCTTTTCTGTTGGGAACTGTTTTTCTTCAAAGAAATTCCAGACATTTGGAGTATTTCAGGTGTAACTATAGTTATCTTTTGTATTATGTGTAGCAGCTTGAGAAAATACCTGTTGTCACTGCCTTTGGATGCCTCAATGAGGATAAAATTCTCGTGTTTCATATAAAGATCGTCTATATATTTTTTTCTTTTGTGTCGTCTTTACCAGTGTGGTATTTGCTTTTTTACATTTATCTTATTTCGTTTGACATTATTTCAATTTAGATTTGGCAAATATTTCAAGTAATACTTAAACAGAATGGATATTATTAGAAAATTTCTTATCCAGTTATTTCTTAATTTAGATATAATCTCTGAACATTTATCTTTGACTTCTAAAGTATTTCTTTGAATTTTTGTTTTGTTTTTTGTGTAACCTTTCATTAAATGTGTGTTACAATATATATTAACTAACTTGATTGTTTTGATTTAGTTACAAATATAAATTGGCTTTGCTGTTCAATACATTACTAACCACGGGTAGTAAATAGAAAACAAGTCAAGAAAGTAGAAAAAAAAAGATCTTACAACCCAAAAGGTGTCTGAAGTAGAATTTCTACATTTATGGAAGAAAATTTATCTATGAATCGCAAGCTTCGAATATTTACAGAATAAAACTATATGGAAAATACACAACTACTATCTCGTTGGTTACCACAGTTGTATCTAGAACTTTAAATGATTATCTATTTTTCCACACAGGGTGGTTCAGTTACTTTAGAACCCAGTTGACAAGACAAATTACTTTCCTATCTCTGTTCTAACAATACAGTTGTAAAACACAGCACAGAAATCACCTGAGCTAATCAATAACACGCTGGCTAACTTCACGTTTTCTTTAACTAACTACCACAGTTGTATCTAGAACTTTAAATGATTATCTATTTTTCCACACAGGGTGGTTCAGTTACTTTAGAACCCAGTTGACAAGACAAATTACTTTCCTATCTCTGTTCTAACAATACAGCACAGAAATCACCTGAGCTAATCAATAACACGCTGGCTAACTTCACGTTTTCTTTAACTAACTACCACAGTTGTATCTAGAACTTTAAATGATTATCTATTTTTCCGTTAAATGTCCACACAGGGTGGTTCAGTTACTTTAGAACCCAGTTGACAAGACAAATTACTTTCCTATCTCTGTTCTAACAACACAGCACAGAAATCACCTGAGCTAATCAATAACACGCTGGCTAACTTCACGTTTTCTTTAACTAACTAGCATTTTTCTATCTTCACTAACTTGCTGTATCTGCACGTATTTATAACAAGCGACAGAAAAATCTTGAACTATCTAGCCCTCTAGTAGCAACACTATCACACGTAACTAGAAAAACCTGGATTACGTCAACAATATTACTAAAGCCTACATACACAACGTACGACTCATACAAAGTTACATAAACTTGTCATACCTATTACTTTTAAAATGATTAACTTTTAACACTATTGTTATGAAAATTTAATCATTAGATATTAGATCATTAAATAAAGCAAACAGTCTTGTATATCCAAAAGGTCTATTCTGAAATAATATTTACCGGGAGAAGCTGGAGATTCCGTAATTTTTTTGAAACGTTTTTACTTTGTGATATAAAAAGAAACAAAATGTTATGTTATAGTTACAGAAAAATAATTTGGTATGTTGTGTTTTACTGAGAAACAACATGTAGCATTACAGTTTACAGAGAAACAATGCATTTTGGCTTACAAAGAAATAACCTGTTACGTTCTGGTTTACAAAGTAACAATATGATACATTTGGTTTACAGAGAAATAGAATGTCTTATCTATATAAATAATACGGTTGCGTTTGTCTGTCCGGAACTCATAGAAGGTTCAAAATGATTAATTTACAAAATATATTGTTTCTTACAGGATTAGTAGTCGAGTTTGGACATTCAGTCAAAATATACCGTTTCTTACAGGATTAGTAGTAGAGTTTGGACTTTCAGTCAAAATATACTGTTTCTTACAAGATTAGTAGTAGAGTTTGGACATTCAGTCAAAATATACTGTTTCTTACAGGATTAGTAGTAGAGTTTGGACATTCAGTCAAAATATACTGTTTCTTACAGGATTAGTAGTAGAGTTTGGACATTCAGTCAAAATATACTGTTTCTTACAGGATTAGTAGTAGAGTTTGGACATTCAGTCAAAATATACTGTTTCTTACAGGATTAGTAGTAGAGTTTGGACTTTCAGTCAAAATATACTGTTTCTTACATGACTAGGAGTAGAATTTGGACTTTCAGTCAAAATATACTGTTTCTTACATGACTAGTAGTAGAGTTTGGACTTTCAGTCAAAATATACTGTTTCTTACATGACTAGGAGTAGAGTTTGGACTTTCAGTTAAAATATACTGTTTCTTACATGACTAGTAGTAGAGTTTGGACTTTCAGTTAAAATATACTGTTTCTTACATGACTAGTAGTATAATTTGGACTTTCAGTTAAAATATACTGTTTCTTACATGACTAGTAGTAGAGTTTGGACTTTCAGTCAAAATATACTGTTTCTTACATGACTAGTAGTAGAGTTTGGACATTCAGTCAAAATATACTGTTTTTACATGACTAGTAGTAGAATTTGGACATTCAGTTAAAATATACTGTTTCTTACATGACTAGTAGTAGAGTTTGGACTTTCAGTCAAAATATACTGTTTCTTACAGGATTAGTAGTAGAGTTTGGACATTCAGTCAAAATATACTGTTTCTTACATGACTAGTAGTAGAATTTGGACTTTCAGTTAAAATATGCTGTTTCTTACATGACTAGTAGTAGAGTTTGGACTTTCAGTCAAAATATACTGTTTCTTACATGACTAATAGTAGAGTTTAGACTTTCAGTCAAAATATATTGTTTCTTACATGATTAGTAGTAGAGTTTGGACATTCAGTTAAAATATACTGTTTCTTACATGATTAGTAGTAGAGTTTGGACTTTCGGTTTCTACGCTTCATTCTTCTTTCAAATGGGATCCTTCTGATATTTGCGGTTTTTTTTTTTCGTTAATAATCAGTTGGATTACGCTTTTCACAAATGTGTTTATTTTTTATGATATAAATCTAAATTAGTTTATAAAGTCATTAGTTTAATGTAAGAAATATTTGAATCTTGGTATTTCGTAATGAAGCTAGGCATGTCAATAAGCTCTATTGCCATAACAGGTGTTATTCTCCAGAAAATACCAAAGGCAGATAGAATGATATAAACTTAATGGCTTCGTGGACCACATGTTAATACAAACCTGCACATATACAGAATAAATGTTTTAGAGTCCAGTTTATGTGGGTAAAGTTTTCGCAACTAGATTTCTTTAACAGTGTTACACCATTAAAATTGACTTGATCTTTCTAGTAGTTTTAAGGGTAACTATGAAGTTGGTTAGACCTTCATCTGATGTACTATTGATAGTGTTAAGTAGTACATGACTACAGTTTTAAGTGTTCATTTGTATTGTGAAAATCAATAAGTGAAGAGAATTAAACATTTGTTCTAAGAAAAACATAACTTGTAAAAGATATGATTTGTGCTATTCACTGTTAAAGCAAAGTATGGTCATTTTGCTAACAATGTATTTAAGGTATCAAAATTGCAAATGATTTTTTATTGTATCTTTAAATTCATTTTTGTTTCTAATTATCATCTTTTAGTATGGTATGTACGCATACCATGCGTTTTCTATCTTCTTTTTTAATATAAACGTTTATACGTTTTTATTTATTCAAGTGTACGTGTAGTTTCACATAGCACATTAGTCAATAAAAGCATTACGTTTCTTTCACTCTAACTAACTATTGTACTCTGTTCTTCACCTAAGGGTAACACTTTGTCCACCAAAGGAGAAATAGCTATAAAGTTTCCTCCACTGGGTGATCAGGTGACACCGCGAGACTACAACCTTCTTTATTTTCTAATGGGAATGACTAGTCATATCACTCGGGAAAATTCTGATATCACCTCTCTAACTACATAACGTGATGTTTTCACAATCTGAAATAAGATTTCAAACTAGATTGTCTAGAAAACAAAAAAAAGTAAGCAGTCCAGATACATTTCTTCAGTAAAGGTGACCATCTGTTGTATTGAAGTAAATACACATACTGTGTTTTTGTTACATAAAGATTATTCATGGGGTTTGTACGTTTTTGTCCAGCCTCTCTCATAAACACAATCAGACTAAATAATTCAAAACATTATTCGGTAATAAGTATTTTGTCAAATCTTCTGTTATGTTGTCGAACTTAAGGGAAGTCAGTTTCACCAAAGAATACCACAAAAGATGGTATAAGGTAGACTTTCTATTTCTTAGCTAATTTACAGTGATATTCTTTCTGTCCTTTGTTGGAAATAACAGATAATGTGAATTCAACTAAATTTATGAAACTTGAAAATTTCTCTCTTGTTAACCTGGCAAGGCGGGATAGAAATCCATTGACAAACATGCTTACCTTTATAGCCCTAAGGGCTATGTAATGTGATAGTCAATCCCACTATTCGTTGGTAAACAACAGAGTAAGAGTTGACCATGAGTGGTGTTGATTAGATGCCTTCCCTCAAATTTAGGGATAGCTAGCGCAGACAGCCCTTAAACAGCTTTGCGTGAACAAATTTAGTTTAAAGCGTTGCGTTACTATTTACAGAGAAACAATATATTTAATTGTTGTTCACAACGATTTGATTTTTCTGTTGAATTTCGCGCAAAGCTACTTGAAGACTATCTGCGCTAGCTGTGCCTAACTTAGAAGTGTTAGCTTAGAGGAAGGTAACCAGTCAAGACCACCGACTGCCAGCAAATAGTAGGATTGACCGTCACATAAATACTACCGCTTAAAAGGCGAGAGTGTTCGGTGACTGGATTCAAACCCGCTACTTGGAGGTTGCGAGTCAAACGTCTTAAGTACTAGGCCATACCAGGCTGCGGTTTACAAAGAAATAACACGTTCCTTAATCTTTAAAACCTGATTGATACTCTGAAATCTTTTATTGATAAGTAAGGAAATATACTGAGTTAATAAGAATTAAGTGAGATTGTTTTCCTTTTTCAATCAAAGAAACACCATTACTCCTCCAACTTGTTTCTAGTGTAGTTGAAGCAGTTCATGTACATTACATAATTTTTAATATATATATATCTATATATCTTATACAACACCTGGCTGTTATGTAAAAAT